GCCGCTGTGGGAAGACAGGACGGTGGGCTAGCTGGGCCATTTGTCTGATGCAATCTGCCCATTCCCATTCTTAACTCTCCCCTCCGCCTGATGAGCGCAAGGGATTTGCAAAGGGCTCACCTACTGCCCGGGTGAGTGCCCTAATCATTGGGTGATGGGAGTACCCTCAGTTGAAGCTGTTACACTTTAATTGAAGGTGACTGGGCCCAGTTAAAGGCCGTGGCTCCCTCTTTGATCCCCTGGTTAGGCTTCACAGAGGGACTTTGGGGCTGTCATGTTCAAAGCCCCCTTCTGCCTGGTGGGCAGGTTGGGGGAGGTTTGAAGGGGGCTCTCCTGCAGCCTGTCTATGCTCTGTGGTTACGCGACTCTAGCGATGGGGGTCTCGCGAGCCCGTCCTCTTGCCTGTGAAGCTGTTCAACTTTAATGAAGTATTATTTGGGTCAAACAACCCAGGTTCTTCCTGTGTAGGCCAGTGATTGGGCTAACGGGCTGGCTTGTGGCTAATGTGGGTTCAAATCTTCTCTTTGTCTATTGCAAGGGCTTCTGAAAAGATATCCCCAGCAGTTCTGTGGTGGGCAGGTCCCTTGCTTTTTGCCCATAAAAGGTGTTCCACATGAATTAACTATTGTTTGAGCAAAACCAAAGCTATCACTCCTTCCGTGGTCCAGTGGTTGTGCCTAGGTGTGGGATGTGGGTGCTGTGGGTTCAATTCCCCTGCCCTCCCTCTGCTGATGCTAAGAAAGACTTGAGATCAAGCCTGGTGCACCTTCCCTACTGTGGGCGCAGTCTCTCTCTTGCCTCTGGAAACTGTTCCACTTTCATTAAATGGTTGTTGGGCCTCATGTTGACAGGATTCCCTCTATGGCCTGATGGTTAGACCCTACCCTTGAGGTAGGGGAGATGTGAGTTCAAATCTCCTCTAGTGCATGTGCTCCTATCTTTCTGTGCTAGTGTTAGGGGTGCCTTCCTTCTTGCCTTTCAAACCTGCTCTGCTTTAATTAAATGGTATTTGGGTCTCACTCTTACACAGTACCCTCTGTGGGCTGATGGTCACGCTACGTGCCTGCAGTGTGGGAGATGTGGGTTTGAATCTCACACGGTGTGTGTTCCTGACCTTTCTGTAATAGCGAAGGGCTTGTCTGCTTCCTTCTTGCCTGTTGAAGCTGTTCCACTTTAGTTAAATGTGCTCTGGGCCGGCCTTGTGGCAACCCTCACTCTCTTGTCCAGTGGTTAGGATACTCGCCTGGGTTGTGGGAGATCCTGGTTCA